GCTGCTTGTTTCAAAGTGAAGCGCGCACATTGCGCACGCGATCGGCTCGTGATCCGGTGTTTTCCTCATCTCAGTCTCTCTGAGCGGCTCCGTTCACAGTGAATGCAGTGAACTCCGTTATTGAATGTGCTGTAAATTTAGCAGGCGTTTGGGTACGCCACGGCCACGGTATGCATAATTTGCACATTTGCATAATTTTCAACATTTTAATGGGCAAATGTTTACAGTATTTCATTAAATTAGTAATGTTTGTAAACCTGTTTTCACAGAAGCTGACGTTTTAAACCTGTTTTCACAGACAACTGAAGTTTCCGCCAAAATAAAAGCTCAAGGGTTTATCTCTTGCAAGCATGGCCTAAAATTAACAGATGCGCACAGAGAAAATACTGTACAGGTACAGCAAGCTCACTGTTGGGAAGAAAAATATAAATATTGGGGTGGTGGTTTATGAATGTATTTCTGAAGGGAACTGACTTCACAAATGTTTGGATGGCATTTTTCCCCTTATTATTGCTGATCCATAAGCGCCACCTGCTGTCAGAGAGTGAATTTGCATTCTCATTCAGCTTGTCTGTTTTAGTTTCATGCAGGTTTTATCTATGCATCATTGTTTGTATCGTGATTAAAATGCAGTGGTTGGTTCTAATTTCAAATGGCTTTTTTTTTTATTAAATGTTTAGTTGTTGTAGTAGTAGCAACTGACCGTTTTTTTGCAAAAACAGTTTCATGGCAAGGAAAAATATTTATGGCCGGTAAATTTTCTCAAGTCACCAAGTTAGTTTTAGGCCCTGCTTGCAAGTGTAGAAATGAGGACAAAAGTATTGCAATTTCCCTACTGTAGAGTAAGGTAAAATAATATACCTGAAAAAAAATCATTTTCATTTATTTCTCAGTGCAATTGTTTTACAATATATGGCTATTACTGTCATAGGAATAATAATATAAAATTAGTATTATTATTTTATTCTAATTTGTTTGGCTTCTAAATTCACCAGTGAGACTGAGGCTCTATATCACAACTAAAAAGAGGGTTGAGTCCCCTTAAAATTTCAAGAACAAGTACATTTACCGGCTTTTTTTTTTTTTCTTTTAGTTTGCACACTGTGACTGAACCTGTGTTGGAGCTCTTAATTTTGAACTCTCAAAGTGCACCGCATTTAAGAATTGAACTTTAAAATGTACAAAATTTTCTTACGGGGGACCATGTCCCCGGACCCCCCTAGAGGGGTCGAGGACCGCCCACCACAGTCTCACAAAATCCTGTGGGAAACACTGTGTAGCTCTTAAATAACACATTTGAATTCAATTCAAAACATTTTAAAACTTTACGTCATTACTGCCTGATGTCAAAGATGTCAAACCTGGCACAACCATCTTGAGGCACCATCTTTGAATTAGCATCAGTACAAATGATATAGTCACCATTTTCAATACTCAAGGCTTCAGAACTGCCAGCCGAATGAAATCAAATTAAATTTTCACTAATGTCTCACACTCACGCGTGCTGTTACCTGAGCCTCTTCTCTTCCTTCTTACGGAGGTGCATGTCTCTCTGTACCACTCTGAGCACATGCTCTGCTTCATCATTGCTCAGACCAGACAGGTCCAGTTTACGTCCCATCACTGCTTTGGAGTCAAGAGTCAAAGGTCGCTGGAATCACAAATGGTTGTCCTTAAAGACTTTGAAGATAAAGCCTGGAGGTCACTGAGAAATAAGAGAGAAATGAAAGTCATTCTGTCTAAACTGAAAAATGCTTGGATTGCATGGGATTGAAAGGGATTGACTTTCACAATAACAAATATTTGAAATTCCAGTATTGAGGTCACACATTTACACAATGGCTTTATTTTATACACAAACATAGTATGTTACCTCTTAAGTGCTGGCTGACCAGTCTGGACAGTAATAAAATACTATTTCAGTTTAAAACATTGTCTCTCCTCATTCATCACTTCCTTATAATTGTCTTTTTCTTCTCCTTTTTAGTCTCAGCCTCAGATGGAGCAAATTCTCAATCTGGCAAGGTCTTATCTGATTATATGAATTTCATAGGATGAATTTAACATCTTTCTGGAACAATATTTTAAAAAATGTACCAGACTGCTACAGTGAGCACTTATGAGGCAGAACTAACCACTGTATTTGGCAAAGTTTTTGTAGGTCAGTGGCATCAAATCTTTGAAATACATTTATTTTCTGAGTTACATCTGTGAAACTTACAGTATGTGTTACTTTTGGAAGTCTATAACTTAACAAAGTCCAGTGTTTTCATGGATTTTTTTCCCGAGCCTGTGTATTTTTGTGGTTTCAGTTGTTTCAAATAATCTGTCTTAAACAGTATATTAAATGAAAAACAAACTGTCGTGTTTATTCATGTTGGTCAAACCAGGCCATTTTCAAATACAAATGCACCTCAGGAAGTGTGTATTCAATAAAAATACATACATACATAAATACATACATACTGCTTGTGTATCTGAAGAGAAAAATAACTACCAAAAACAAATACCAAAATCAATGGCAAATGTTTATCACAAAGTCATGATTTAAATGGCATAGCAAATTAATATTTCTCCACAGAGAGATCACATAAATGGATATAAATGCACAAACATAAAACCATAAAATGCATTTATACTAAAGAGTTCCTGCAAAACAAGTCGGTTATCTTTAACAAGCAAACAGGCTGCCTAAGATAAGACCGGTACAATGCACACGTGGATTTGGAGCTGCATTAATGTGCTCAGCCAGGCTACGGTCATTGGAAAATTCTACCTGTGGACCAAGATCTCACATACATTCTCTCTCTCTTAATATGGTCCTACATGGGGCTGGGAGAGATGAGGACATTTCAGAATAGGCTCATCATCGGAGGTGAAAAGTAAGAGAGACAGATAAGATAAAAGGGGTTCAGAGAATTATGCACTAAAATAAAAATGGATGTCCATATCAGCCAGTATTTTTTAAAGGACATATCAAACATAGATGTTTATTTTGCTTACTAAACTGTTAGGGATGCACATTAAAGGGGGATACTGTAGCTGCTTATTGATGAAGAGCCATGAAATAAAATGGGAAACAGGAGGAGATTGTGTGGAAGGAGGTGGAACAATTATAGGAAGAGACAGAGATGGTATTACAGAGAAGGAGAGGGGGAGAGATGCTGACAAAGAGAAGGAGAGAGAGTGTATGACGTTAAATGCAGCCTGTGGGTGATGACTCAGTCAGCTGTGCCCTTTAAGCTCCACCAATCACATTACACTCCACCTGTTTACAATCCTAACACACACACACAAAGACACACACTAAGACATATAGGCAACTAACTATTTTCTTGACAGCATTTCAGCAATTCTCAAAGATCCAGAAGGCTTATTCTAATGCAAACACCCAAAACTCGTCACACACCTCTATATTCAGAGATCCTGGAAAGACGAAAAACAGTCTGACAGCTACATTAGATGCTAACTAACTATGCATATATATTGAGAGAGAAATAGGAAGCATTCTTACAGTATAATATAGACAGACATTTGACAAGACAGCATAAAGTCCGTTTCATGTTGCAGCTTATTCTGGTCAAGGACTATCCACTTAGACATGAAGACATTGCCTTATTGGCATGCTGTATATAGTATATGTACACTCTAAAAAATGCTGGGTTGTTTCAACCCAATGTTGGGGCAAATATGGACTCAACTTGGGTTAGTCCATATTTGACCCAACATTGGGTTGAAACAACCCAGCATTTTTTAGAGTGTATAGTGACCACAGTTTTTATTTTGTTTATACACATTGTTCCGTAGAGATTAGGTTTGCCTGTAGAGCTGATTCTATCTAGGACCATGTTTGAAATGCCTGATCGAACAAATACAAATAAAACCAAATAATTTAATATTTCTGCTAAGCTAGCAGGCTAATCGGCTAACAGTATGCAAGGCTAGTAATCTAAAAAATGTAGTCAAACCCAGTAATAATTATTTCAGGGGACCAAATGTATGTATGTATTTATAAATAAATAAATAAATACATTTGTTTACAAAATTATTCTAAATAAATACATTTGTGTACAAAATTATTCACACGTAAAAGTGAAAATATTCTGCAGGTTGAGGGGCAATAATACAGCACAGGGGAGCTTCTGCTCAGCAGTGGAAGGTTAAATGTGGGTCAAGCTCAGGATGTGCTTTGTTCTAGTAGCTACTGTCACAATCAAGATTCCTGGTGGACATCTCAGATGCAGTAAATACATATACACAATGACCAAACATAGCCTTGCTGTTTTGTACTCACCTGTTTAGAGCCAAAACTTCACTTAGTGGGTACAGCTTATTGGGGGTGGGGGTTATACCGATGCACTTTCCTCAAAAATGCCCTTTTTTTGAAGATATAAGAGTCACCTGGTTTACTGTTTATATAATCAACACAATTTGAGATATCATTCATGTCCATAGCACACATAGAAACAGTAATTGTAATGTCGGCCTTAGCAAACACCACTAATCACTGTTCAGAGAGTGTTAAGGCATGAAGGTTTATTTAATTCATTAAATTACCATATAGCCATAATCAGAAATAAACTACTTTTAGCTCACCTGTGCTGATGGCAATACCCCACTTTCAAAACTAGAAGTCTGACACTTTCTTGGAAAGATATAAGGTATACATTCACCCTATAAATAAGAAACATGGTGTGAAGTAATTGCTTTTCTATCTGTGTCATTTGGGTCATTTGTCTGTGCTGAATAATGGGACTGGGGAGAGGAGGAAAACGCATTCTCTTTTAGGCTCTAATGTAACTACCCCAATCCATCAGACTGGCCTCCATTTCAGCTCAACATGCTGCAGTGTTTGATTCAAGTATCATTATTCAGGGCTGCTCGAAATATCCTGAGTGCAATTTCCCACTACACAAAAGAGTTGGATCACAGGATTCCAGCTGCCACCCGCTTTAGTCATCATGGTATTGTGCTATTAATTTAAACATTTTCCCATGATTTTAAAACTCATTCTGAGTACAAGGCCATTTTAATTTTAGGCATATGCATATTTCTACTTATCTGAAAAAACATACAAGGTACATAACATACAAACATAAAAATCTGTTTAAGAGTACATTATATAGGAAAGCAATGCATTTTAATGATCACTTTAGACTCACAAACGTTCTAAATAATAACACTTGAGAAAAAACTGCAGAATGCTGTTCTAACATTTTATCTATGTGTACTATCCATAACATTAACTATACAACAAACCATGGCAAATAACTTAAAATATTATGAAATATTATAATACAATCATCTAAAACCTTCTTCAGTTCAACATAAGTGGTAACTGACAGTCAGCTGGTAAGTTTCTTAACATTAACAACAAATTAACCCCAATGCAGGTCTAGTATCACGCTGAAGAGGTTTATCTTGCTATTATGCATGGCTGACTGCACATTATGCCACTTATTACAAGATGACTTGGTAAATGAATGAATGAATGAATGAACGAACAAATTAGCAAATGGACAGGAAATATTGATTTGAGAAACACAAAACTATTAAATCGTACTCTCTTAATGGACAGCCGTCAGTTAGTCAGTTTAACTGTCAAAAATATTTGACCACAAAATTCTGAGATTGGCCAGTCAGAATTAAGTATATAAAAGGTAGTTTTACAAACGCAATGGTAAACCAGCTATGAAAACATATCAAATTGCAATGTTTGGATGAAATAAGTCACAAACACTCCCCACTCTCGTGACCAAATCTCTTTCTTAACAACAGCAGTAATAATAAAAAACGCTCCTGTTACCCTGTCTTAACAATGCAGTGAAAACAGCAGGCATCAGTCAGTCATTATACACTGTCATGTATGGTAAATTAATCAAAGCAGCTGTGCAGGCAGGTTGGCTCAATGCATGCGGAGAGGATGATTCATTGAGCGGCCTTTATCCACCTATAACGCAACCATGAGGCAGAATGAAGTGGCAAACAGATGTTACATTCACACAATGCATTCTCCACAAATGCAGTTCTGGGTGGTCAGCTGGGGTTTACACCAATGAAGTGAAATACTACTGCAATACTGCAAAAAGTATGAATGAATGATAAAACAACCCCTCTCTCTAGGAAGTCAGCATCACTGTGATCAGAAGGGGGTGAGTATGGCAAGCTGCAGTACCATTTATTAATTATAACTATACTTACATTTATTCAATCAGCACAGAATTTTATTCAAAGCGACATCACAAGCAATTTGTCATAACAGAGAATGATATTTGCACTACACAATGCCAAGATTAGAATGCAAGTTAAGAGCTGAAGTGAAATGCAGAAAAAAAAAATGTTAAAAGTGCTTTTGATAGAGTAGTTCACTTCCAGAACAAAAATTGACAGATAATGTACTCACCTCCTTGTCATCCAAGATGTTCATGTCTTTCTTTCTTCAGTCGTAAAGAAATTACGTTTTCTGAGGAAAACATTTCAGGAATTTTCTCCATATAGTGGACTTCTATGGTGCTTGCGAGTTTGAACTTCCAAAATGCAGTTTAAATGCAGCTTCAAACGGCTCTAAATGATCCCAGCCGAGGATGAAGGGTCTTATCTAGCGAAACAATCGGTCATTTTCTAAAAATTACAATTTGTATACTTTTAACCTCAAACGCTCATCTTGTCTAGCTCTGCGTGCATTCTGGTTCATGACAGTTAGGGGTATGTCGAAAAACTCCCATCTCATTTTCTCCTCCAACTTCAAAATCATCCTACATTGCTGTTTTACCTTTTTTTATAAAGGGCGTTTGACCTTCTTTGCATGTTCACTTTGTAAACACTGCGTCGGTACTTCTGCAATGATGTAGGACGATTTTGAAGTTGGAGGAGAAAATGAGATGGGAGTTTTTTGACCTACCCTAACTGTTTCGGACGGGACTGCTCAGAGTACGCATGTGCATTGCAGAGTTACACAAGATGAGTGTTTGAGGTTAAAAAGTATATAATTGTTTTTTTTTTTAGAAAATGACCGATCGTTTCGCTAGATAAGACCCTTCTTCCTCGGCTGGGATCATTTAGAGCCCTTTGAAGCTGCATTGAAACTGCATTTTGGAAGTTCAAACTCACGGGCACCACAGAAGTCCATTATATGGAGATAATTCCTTAAATGTTTTCCTCAAAAAACATAATTTCTTTACGACTGAAGAAAGAAAGACATGAACATCTTGGATGACAAGGGGGTGAGTACATTATCTGTAAATTTTTGTTCTGGAAGTGAACTACTCCTTTAAATGTTGTGAATTAGTTAAATGCATGTGGAACCGGCGTGTCTTTAGCTTCAAAATGAACAAGTAATTAAACAGTAACTGGAATCTATTATGTTAGTTATTAGTATATATTCCTTTCCTACTAGCCATAATCTCAATAGTGGCAAGGAACTATTTCATTGTGAACTATTTTCATTTGTGAGTCATTTATCAGCTACTCAATTCTGGCTAGTATGAATTTCACCTGTTTCTGGTGCAGTTTGCTAATACTAATACTAGATTGAAATGAGATACTAATACATATTTCTTATTACAGTAGTAAGTAGTATATAGATAGTAGTACTGTACTTGTGCCATTTGTAGTAACTTATTAACTACAGCTGCTTTTTACTTGTCATGTACAGTATACCATATAGTCAAAATGGCTACTGTATGGTTTAACGTTAAATACTAGTAACATTTAAAAAAAGATGTTACTAGCAGGCTAACAAATGGATTATAGGACAATAAAACAATAGTGTCCAATAAATACATGCTAGTATTACTAGCTATTCAGCTAGTAAAAATGGAAATACTGTAGGTACCAGCAATAATTGGAATACAAATTAGTCAGAAGTGAATATTCTATATCTGAACTACAGATTGAGTCAGTTCAGTGGCAAAAATCTGTTAGTAAGTGTCACTGGGATAGTGGCTAGCAGGCGTGACATTGGCACAGGGCGGTCATGACTCCCGTGGTTTTGAAAAGACAGCAGTCGACCCCCACACTTTCGATAAGGGAAAATAGTCTGCGTGATTCATTAAATAAAACTTCCGACAACGAACATCACATTCATTGTAATTCAAACCATACACCGATGTTTATTAAAATGTTTATTCCATAATAATGAGAAAATAAATTACGATTGCATTTGTTTTTAGCCTACATGTATGTAACCTATACCTATTTGACAGTGAACAGTACATCATCTTCTTCTAATGGTGCTTCTGATAGCGGTCCTAAACAGGCAGTGAATTTAGTTGTCTTACTTGTGCCTGTCTCAGCTGCAACACAAATTTCTTGTAGTCTGCCTGGCACAACCAGAAAGATGAAGCCAGCGAAACAGAACAGTATTGCCTCCTTTTTCAAAAGGCAAATAAGGTAAGTTGACATTAATTTTATACATGCCCAGCCAGTTGTCATCATTCCCCCAGATGCCATTTAGCCATGTTTGTGATGGCCTTAAATTCTAAATGACTTAATCAAAGAGATAATTGTTTAAGTCAATGGTTCTCAAAGTGTGGTACAAGTACGCAGATGAATTATATTTAACTCAATTAAATATAAATTAATGTTAAAACACAATAAATTTTAATTTAATCTTTGAGTAGAGTTTTTTTACACATTTAAGGACAGTACAGTTTTTATTTAACTTTTAGGTACAACAGATTTTAGTTTAATAATTATTTAAGTTTTTTTATTTTTTATTTACCTGTATGTAAGCACAGTGCAGTGTTAATGTTAGCATTATAGTTAAGTAGTTGACAACAATAAATATTCTTATTAGAAATCAAAATGCTTTGTTTTTTAACTGTGCAGAGCTGTAGCTGAATAGTAAGGCCTACTACACTACTGTATTTTAATGTTAGTCACTTGGAGAGCCAATTATTTTCTGAGGTGGTACTTGGTATAAAAAGTTTCAGAACAACTGGTTTAAGCAATAAATGTAGCCTAACTTCGTATTGTAATAATAATCAATATTATTCTATTAATGATCAGGCAAATTTAATATAAGATGGTAGTCCGACGGTGAGCCTGAAGTGGTGGTCCGATATCTGGAAATCTGATCCACATACTAGTTCGTTTAATACCTGAATGTTAAAACAGCTTGCCATATGGTCAGGACTGAATGTGTCAGGTGCATCTAGCACACTTGCATGTATGATATGTAGAAATCGATAACGGCAATATACAAGCGGGTCACATAAACATTGACCTCTCTTCATCCTCTCATTGTACGGAGCAATTGTAAAATTCACACACAAACTTTTGCACATTCATCAACGATTCAAGCAGCTAATGCAATAATATCCACACAGAATCAATGTGACATCTGCACAAAACTTACGCGAAATCAACATCCGTGGTCCGCAGGCTACAGACGTCCACGCACTGACAGCCAGGCGGGTTTGGCTTGGTTAACTTCCATTGATCGGTGATATGTGATTTCCCACGCAGGCACACACACAGTCATGCGCTTTAGCTTATGGGGCGCCGACTGGTGCGAACTGATTTACAGAATTTGCGTCTATTTACAGCGGCTTATTTTTGCAGCGGTTAAGTTACTGTTTGAGGAATAAATTAAATGGCTAATAATTGATTAGCCCTTTATTAGTCAGCTTTCTTTCCCCCTCTCAGCGTGGCTATCTCTCCTCACACACATGGTGACATCCAGCGGCTGCTCGCATCCTCCTCCTGCACCTGAGCATCCCGCTGATCAGCCAATCACAGCGTAGTGTTCAGCCCGTTATTAAAACATCAACTAACACACGCAGAACGAGGGTGCTCCACTCAATCATCTCTGAAAGTTAAGGCCAATGAACAAAGAGGCAAATTAATTGGTAATGTTGCAGTATATATCAGAGAGCTTAATTAAAATGAAGCCACAACAAAGATGCTGTGGCTTCCTGAAGTCCAGGAACTTTCAGCTACTTAAAACGAGTAACTCAGTTAGGTAGATGGATAAATAGAACATTTTGTTTGTTTTATTCAATAAATAATACTAATTATAATGCTCAGACGCAGTGCATAAATCAGAATGTGTAAGTGCAAATACAAGTTCATTAATTCATTAAATGTATGGATGCAAGCAAAGTTTAAAATTAACACTTCCCAAGCACCAAATGCTTCAAATCTTTATTTATCAAGTAGGCTATATAAAATAGCTGTTATTTATGGTCGCCCTTCTCAATTTTATGCACTATTAGCAGATGTGGCAAAACATTTTGACAAAAAACTTGGAACTCTGGATGGATGTGTGTGTGTGTGTGTGTGTGTGTGTGTGTGTGTGTGTGTGTGTGTGTGTGAACCTTATTCCCTGGACCTTTAACTGACAATGTAAGACTGGGAGAGAGACATGTTGATAAATGGCAGAAAGCACTTCTGTTTCTTTTGACTCTCATTAACACATTAATTGTCAACACACATACACACACACACACACAATCTCGATAGTGTAATCTTGTAGTACTGTATCTATAAAGCCTGTAAACACATTCCTAACGATGGTGGTTAGGACAGTAGCCAGAAAGAGGATAAAATAGAAAGGCAAGACATCTCTCAGCTCCTTATCGCTACAGTGCAGTGATGGAAACTGCTGAGAGCAGCAGGTTTCACAGTACTTGCTAAAGTGCTTTATGGCAGATGTGAAGAAATTCACTAGAGCTCATTTGTCTAACTGAGCGAACATGTACAGAAAGAGAATCTGTATGTCTGTATTTTCGCTGAGGAGCCGAGCCGGTGACCCGGCCACTCAGCGGTGGTACAGCAGCCGTGGCGACGGGACGTGACGTCTCCGTTCCCTCCTTCAGGGAACGAGGGTTACATATGTAACCAAGACGTTCCCTTTCAGTCGGTCACGCTGAGTCACGTCGGTGACCAACGAATTGGGATCCCTACCAAAGCGCCATGGATGCTGCCCCTTCCAGTGTCCTGTTCGAGCCGCCTGCGCCCTTTTGCGGTGTAGACACTGTTGTCATAGCACTACCCACTTAGTGAGATTGGATAACACTGGGAAAACGTACCCATTCCACTTGGAACAGGAACATTGCGGAAGCCCCATCCTTCCCGAAGGAGGTTTCGGAAGCACTTACACATATGACATCCGTTTAGGTGCATATGTAAGATTAGAGGTGATTGTAACCCTCATGGAAATGGCAGAAGTCTGGCGGGGAAACACGGACTCTGAGGCTATACCGTGGACTTTACACATATGGGAACAACTTAGGCCTCTACATATGGAACTCAGCCCTCTACCGGTTCTCACGGATTCAGCGAGTGAGGGCCTGACGCCGGACATTCCGCCACGTCTGGCTGCCGAGGGGATGGAGGAGCTCGACAGGGCCTACAGTACGGACACTCTGAATCAGTTTTAGCAAGCTGACACTAAACTGAGGCCTCTCAGCGCCTCTAACCGTTTGAGGTGAGAACACAGCAGGATACCGGCTCCACACGAAGGCTATAGAATCTAGCGAACGTGTTGGGGGTCACCCAGCCCGCAGCTCCGTAAGCACCCTTTGAGACGGTTCAAGGCAAGGTGCACTGCTAACAACTATAGGCAATTAATATGCTAGTGCAGTTGGGGGCCCGTCCATACCCCCGACACTGCGTGCCAGTTGTACGTGGCCCCCCAGCCAGTGGTGGAGGCCACCCGTGTAAACCACAGCATGTCTGGAGACCTGTTCTAGGGGCACTCCTGCCCGGAGGAACGTAAGGTCTGACCACGGGGTGAAGATTTGGTGATAACTTGGACCCAGTGAGTGCCGCGCTGCCACGCCCACCTCGGGACTCGGCCATGAAGCCAGTG